CTACTACTATATATATATATATATATATATATATATATATATATATATATATATATATATATATATATATATATACATACATATATATAGATAACGTGCGCCAACACGTTGTTGTTGGCTTTATTCTCGTAATTTTAAGGAAATACACACACAAATGCGTTATTGAAGTACGCATTTGAACAGGAGCTTACGCTTTCAATAATTTTTTATTATATACTAAAATATTTTTACACACATACTGAAATTTTTAAAATATTATTTAAAGAATTAATTATAATTTCATTCATAATTTCTCTGACATTGCCATACTATTTTCAATTCAACATCTGTGCCAAGGATTCTATTTTGAACCGCCTAACAGACTGATTAAGCAACGCAGCAGAAGTAATTTAATTGTGAAAGCCATTGAACGGCAATGTATTAATAACTTTATTTCGGAGTATTGTGCGTATTTGTTGTATTTGATGTATTAATAATTTGATGTATTGATAAAACGATGACCAGTCCGTCGATGACAAACCACAATGAAATACGTAAAGCTACTCTCGTATCGATTTTCTACTGCCGAGAATCGCAATTAATCGCAAAATTATACAAATATTCTTTACAGACGAGGATAAAAAAAACCCAGGAACTTTCCCAACTTTTAGTGCATATGAATTTTTCATACGAATTTTTCGAACGAATTATGAATTTTCATCACCGAGTATATATCTTTACTCTGTGGTGGAAAAAAAACTTAATTCGAAGTTTCAACGAAATTTTTTGGAAATTCTTGAAGTTCACTGCAATATAATCTCATTTTAGGGCACATCGCTGGAGTATTTTAATTATAACTTTGAAAATTATCGAAGCACTACATTTCAGCTATAATGCATCACTACATGGAGAAAATGTTATATCAAAAATTACTATGATTCGGCAGTAGCCGCGGACTGTAAGAGGAATTATAAGTTTAAATACTCTGGCTATTATGTGAAAAATATAGTAAAAATTTTTATAATTCCTTTATAATGCGCGGCTACTGCTGTATATCATTTTTGAATTAAAATTTTCTCCGTATGAGTCTAACATTGAAGAAGTCACGATTTGTGGCGAAATAGATCTGCATGCACTTTAAAATTCGACTCTAATAATATTACGTAAGTTTTGTTTTGTCTTTTACATCACACTTTTCGATTTTCTTAATTGGACAATAGATATCTTTACAACGCGCGCCCTCGGTAATGGAAGGTCGATTTTTGCATATGTACAGTAATTATATTAATTAAATATATGCAGCGAAGAGTTTTATATTTTTCACAGGAACGCGCGGGTGATCTTGACGCGCATATTAATTTATTCTATGTCATACAAAGTAATAGCGAGTACAAATTGTATAATACATATGATTAGACGATGATGTTGTAAACGGCTTTAAATGTTGATGTACGTACTAGTCAACTTCTTTTAGGGCGACACTATTTAGATCACGTCCGAAAAAACTGGTATTAAATAAAAATGCTGAACGCTCCTTCCTCTCTTTCTCTCTCTCGAATTAATTAGAAAATCCCTGCTCTCCATTATATATTCCGTTCCATCCTTACGGGAGGACTATCTGTGTTCCCTGCATACGTTACACGTTTATCCACCACAACATAGTTATTCGCATAGTTGCTTATTCTGACCGTTCAACAATGTCTCACCTCGAGTTATGCCGATAATGAGGATTACCGGCCAATCGGGCGCATCGCCCCAAATATTCAATGATCGAATGTATAATTAATTAACCGGGGAATTCATCGGTATTTATATGCAGGATTTATGCCGCGCGCTGACTATCGTACATTCGCATTATGACGCCGCGCGGAACAATCAAACGGATTGGATGCGCGTTATGATTATTCATGCGTCGCACACATTCCGCACACGTAAGCTAATAGCGTATGTTTGCGTGCGCCACACGTTTAATTATGCGACGTAACGGAAAGCTAGTGCCGAAGAGATTCGGACGGGGGGGGGGGGGGTGAGGGGATTCGCAGTTACTAGACGTGTGGCGTTTGTTGCGATAACGCGCACAGGGGGTTCCCGAATAAAGATACACCAAGTATAACGATAACCGTATAAATGATCGCGCAAAGCAAACAATCCGATGAGATGGACGTCACACAGTAGAGACACACAAACGGAAACCACCGTACGATGCGCCGGACAAGGGAAGAGATTTTAGTCCCCCGCGGAGGGGAAGAGACGCCGTTGATATTCGGAGCCGGACCCCTGTGGAAATCTCGCGTATGAGAAAGATCTATGATACGATGCGGGAGCAGCTGGGAAAAAGTAAGAGCGATATATAGCTGATATGACGGGAGCAAGGCCGCGTAATGCGCTTAATCATATCGTGTTGCAAGAAAGAAATACAATGGCGCTTCACTCGAGGGAAAACGGCGACGAAAGGGATGAAAGCGCGCGAGGGACGTAATGGTTTCGCGAACGAGATAGTCATAATACATATAAGGACACATGATATATGAAAGTAAAGAAAACAGAGGGTTGCAGCCTTACGCGAGGATATATTTATTTAAGGACGACGTAAATCTCATCTTCGCGAAAGGGTTTAAATATTAATGTGATTTTTGCACAAGAAAGTTATATTTTTTTGTTATCGGAAACACAGTCGAAATTAAAAATGGTGGGATAAAATAAAGAAGCGAGTCATTCTGATTTGCCGGTTTAATACACGTCGGTAAATAATTTTTATTTAAAAAAATACGAATTGTTTATAAGAAGGGAAGTTCTATAAGTTAATCTTTTATTGTAAAGTATAGAATTCTGTTGTAAAAATTTTATTTGTCACAATTATTGGTCAAAAACGATAAATTTGCTCTCACATTTTTTTTTTTGCTTTTCAGGTAAAAATTTCTTGTTGACGTTTAAACGTCAAAAGAAAAAGTTAATGTATCCAAGTTTCTAAAATGAAAATGTGACGAAGCTAAAGGATTAATTTACGTATCTTATTGCCGAAGATTAATTATATTCCCACCCTGGACGGGGTCTGCGCGTGACAACTGATATTTAATAGGGTGGCTTTGCTACTCGCAAAGTGCGGTGCACCGTCCTGCCGTAACCGGAGATTGTTTGCTACGAAACTCCGTTATCGCGCCACGAATATTGGACCGTGGCCGGAAGTTGCTATTGGACTATCGAACCAGATGCGGATCTCGAATAGACGACCGTAGCTACGAAACTTGTAAGATCGACCTGACAGGAAATGCGCTGCCTCCACAGTCTCGCAGATTAACGGCGACGAAAATTGGATTAACGTCAACAGGTAACATGATAACTTATTGAAAATCGATTTCAAATCAACAGGTTTTTCCGACGTCAACTTTGTCGAAATTTTTCATTTGTAATTTTGTATTAATTATACATCATGTCAGACGATGATGGAACATATTTTTCGAACTGAATTAAAGAAATTTTATTTCTCACTGAACATGAAGAGAGAGAAAAAAAAGAGAGAATACTAATTTTTATAATTTTGACAAAATAAGGTTTCACAATTTTGTGCACAATTTAGCGATATAACATTTACTATATAAACCTTCGAAAATATTTTTGAAACATATGCATTGTTTGGGGAAAATGCAACAATTTGAAATGGAGAAAAATATTGCATTTAGTTTTGTATTTATTTATGAAATCAATGTTTACACTTCTTGCAGAAAAACATAATAGAATATTGTGAATGTTGTTCCAGAAAACAGTCGCTTTGATTTAATCAAAATGTTTAATCAGTTTAATGAATCTAGCCAAAATGCAATTCAACGCCAGTATGTTAAGTAGGGAATAAGCTAATCTCAACTGGATGAGATGTAGTACCACTAATTAGAAAGAGCCTCGTTAATCTTCAAGATAGTGATCTTAATGACTCCTTCTCGTGTTTCAATCACTTACCAATCAGCCTCTCCTAGGTGAATCGAATATGCATTTCGAGTAATTGAAATTCGAACTATTTATGTCGAAGTACTCACTTCTCTTGCAATTTAAAGCTTCGGGTATCTTATTTGGAACATCAACAGTTGCAATTTACTTGCAATAGTTCGTATTTATTAAAGACAAAAAAAATTGCTATAATTCTATCATCAAAAATTAAAGTTTTCGCTCTTTTATGATAAAAATCAACTTGCTAAATTTCAAGTGCTAAATTATTATTCGTTGAAGTTTTACGCAATGTGTTCAATTTGTATCTATATAAACATTTGCATAATGATATGCATGATTGTTATCTAAACAGAGTTCTTTTGTAATTATCAATACGAGGTCAAATTGTAAGCGAAATACGAGGTGCGATCGTAGACGTTTGATAGAAATCTTGCATAAATTTATAATTTTCATTACCATTCACATACATTTTTTCAATGTTTTTTTTACGTTGGTCGTAATACTTTTCAAGAAAAAGAATATATGCAACGATATTTCCTCTAAAGTATATTGATTTCGGCAAGAAAAATCACAGAAATACGATTATTAACAGGGATACATATATATAGAGAATATCAACACATCATATTTAGTATATATAATCATAATTTATTTTAAATAAATCCTCATTAACATAAGACCATCCTATTAAATTTGTATAATGTAATACTTCTTACGAGACATAGGATCAGAACAGTATGTATTCGGAAAAAAATGTAATAGATATTTGGTATAATTATGTATACATATCATGCGTAGAGATTATATATCTGGAGGCGCTTTAGCCCAATCTCTCTCTCTCTCTCCCTCTTCCGCGTATAAGAGTAGAATCGGGAGAAATAGAAAAAAAAACTGATCTTTCCACCTTCTTGTCCCTCTCCGTTATACCAACTTGTCCACGCTTGTGTAAAAAATAAAAAAAGGACAGAAGAAATATCCCTCTTTTATTCAGTTGGTTACAAGAATCAAGCTGCAAGACGTCTCCAGGTATACAAACTCTGTGATATTACGTATGTGCATGTGTGCCATTGCTATTGAATTAGTTACGACAATTCTAAAGACAATGTGTGCCTCCCTACAGGGCATACACGTTGGAAGATTACATATTATAGTTTTATTATACAATATCTATTGTATTTTTCTCCGGCGTATTGTACTTTAAAAATCTTATCGTGACATTCCCATCGTAAAGAATGAAATTGTCGGTATATAAATATAGTGTACATGTGCTGTTCTTTGACCGAGCGAGAATTTCGTCGTAGCACATGCTCCAAGTTATGCGTAATAAGTGCAACTTCTAAGACGAGGACACTTATGTATCGTCGCATGTGCTGCAACAAAATCGGCAGAGTACCAGTTCTATTAAGAAATCTGATAAATCCTTTATATGTGTGTCAGTCTTATTTAAATCTAATATATAAATGATTATTCCTACGTTTGAAACATAAATCTTGTGTACATGTCGCTTCTTAAAAAGGAAAAAAAAAAATTAAGTTACCATACAGGAGGTCAGAGCAAGACTACAAATGTATATAAGAAATATATTATATGTACACAAAGCAAATTTATCTAATCCTATTAACTTCTTACTAATAAGGAAGTAGTAATCCTTTTATCTCATTTCATATTTTATACTGTGTGTGTGTGTGTGTGTGTGTCACGTGAGACAAAATAAAAAAACTACTGATGATTTGTGAGAATCAAAAAGCAAACGCATATATGTATATGAATATATACATAAAAACGCAAGACTAAAAATGAACTATTGCTTTTTTGATGAATTTCGACGACGATTATTCGATTTTCGAGGATTTGACTGAAGAGACCGTGATTTAATGGAATGATCGAACATATCGTACGGTGAATGTGTATGAAGATCGCGGCTGGCGATACCTGCAAGAAAGAAGAATATTGTGATTTTCAAATTATACATACGCATGAAATGCACATATTTTCATATCACGAAAATTAATAAAAAAGTGCAATAAATACAATGCAAACTTCACAATGTTTAATAGCATATTAAAAAGGATATAGTAGAAGGAATTACAAATCAATTTTTTGATACATATATAAAATCACTCTTACGATATTCATACAAAGTTGTGAACAATTTTGACAATCACAATTAAGGATTACAGGGAAAATATGATGATTTGAATTTAAAAGCTTAGGCAAATTTTTTTATAATTAGAAATACGTTTTTATTAATAAACACATCAATAATTAAAATAGGAAATTAAAATGTAACATTTTGCTTTCTGCAGTCTCTTCTAAATTTTTTATTCTGTCAAGATCTAAATAAAATTTTGTATGTATGAACATTTTTTTTACACAAATGTCGAATATTTTTATACATAAAAATTTTGAAATAATTAGCAAAGTATAAAGATGGAAGGAAGAGCATTGCAGAGGAATTTGGAAACTCACCGGCAGTTACAATGCAAATTGCATTGCGGTCACACGTGAGGATTCCCATTTAATAGGGTTGGTGCCTCTGGTTCTGTCGACCACCCCTCTGCTTGCCACCGTAGCCTGAACCTCCTGCAACATATCCACGTGGAGCATTGTCACTTCCACTTTATAGTTACATATATCTCTCGTTTATCTTTAGAAGAGAGCAAATGAGATGCATATTTAACAAAAAGAAATGTCAAATAACACACATTTTTCTAAAACGTAATAAGTGAAGGAAATTATAGAAAATATAGAGTGCAAAAAGACTATAGAGAAAGTAGAGGCGACAGGCTAAGGTAGTAAGCTGCATTTTAATTCCCCATCTTCTTTACACATTTCTGAGAGCTAAATGTAGGGTTAATATTGGAGGATATGATTGTTCGATGAATTATTAAATAAGGATTCTATTCATTACATACATACAGAAAGATGAATGTGAAAATTGTCCATAATTTACATAATTTGCATCAATATTCGAAATTGATCAAAGTATATAATAGAATTACTTTGCATGATAATTATATCGTTTTTTAAATCAAGTTTACTGATGCTATATATATGTAAAATTGTTTATCACGTAATTTTACATAAATATAAAACAAGCAATAAAAATAATCATGAAAAATTTACAGTATATCTGTATAAACTTTTTTTCCCGTTTTATATTTATTCCTCTCTCACACGCACACAAACATACACACGTCACACAGCTTTGGAATGATTAACACAAAAGATAAGGAGAGAGAGAAAATAAATATTCGAATAAATAATAAGAAGCAAGAAATGGAGACATGGTGAAAGAGAAAGTGAAAGCGAGTGAGTGAAATTTTGAATTCAACAAATGCGAGAAAAATAATGAACGATGATGAATGTGATCAACGATTGAGAAAATATATATGGACGATAAAATTGGAATATATATCATTTAAAATCATATAAAATATAAAGAAAGGACGCTATAATGCGTACCTTTACCGCGTGCGCCCCCACGCCCACCACTGTAGCCACCGTCGTAATTACCACTGCCATATCCATATCCATCTGCATTTCATGGAACACACGGCATAAAGAGACAATAGTATCAGTTATCGATATGCATCGACATGATTGTTGATTTTCTTCTACATTAAGTGAAAATTTTTAAGCACATAAGCGCTTGGAATAAAGAAAATATAATGAAAAGTTGAAATAATAATATTAATAATTACATTTAATATATTAAAACGACGTTTTCGTCTACATGATTAAAAACAAGTTACTTCCAAAGAGCGTTCAATTTCCGAACACGAATGCTAAAGAGCAACTCTAATATTGGAGAACACGCTAACTTTAACTATTACGTGAATCTAGAACTGACGTGCACGTAATAGCGTTTATACAGAAAGAACGATCTGTGCTAAAAATGGCTCATCGCCATTACATCAGGAAAAAAATTTATACATATATACAGAGTTAAAAGAAAGAGTAAGTTACGCAACGTACATCGATTGCAACAGTGGTGTGATTATTTTTCTAAAAGACTGAAGAAATTAATCAACAGTTTAAAATAATGCTTTTGACTTTTATACGTGAGAAATACAAACGCTCTGAAATGTTATAATTAGACAAAATATTAAGACCTAAGGAGTTCAATCACTTCACGCTTGTATCTTCTATCTTAATGGGCAGTAATTTGATTCAAACACATGCCGATTTGGAAAATTATATGAGCTACAAGAATAATTACTGTCATTCTCTTTTCTTTCCTATAATAGGAATATGTATGTAGCCTTTGTAGTTTCATGGCGAGGATGAGATAATCTTCATGAGATGCGAAAGAAATGTGAAACATCATGCTTGTGAGAACCATGTTGAAATTAGAGAGGTTCGTTTGCTTAACAGTACATTAAAAATAAAAGAAATTACATGTGTAAATATTCATAGCATTAAAGCAACAAAAATAGCTTAGCAATAGGATAAAAATATAAACTTAGTAAATTGTTAGAATAGCTAGGTAAGTTAGTTGGTCATAGTTTAATAAACAGCCAACCCTCTGGAAGTAGCGATTTAAGATAGAAAATAATCCAGATTATGTTCATTGTTTAAAGCAATCCAGATTATGTTCATTGTTTAAAGCAATCTTGATTAAACGACAATGCATGGATTTATCATAAATTAAATCATGCAATGTGCCGTGAAAACATAATCCAAAAGACATATGTCACGAGTCGCTGATCCATATCGTCTGTAATCAATCGCAGTCAATAGTTTACATTAATGCAGAAATCATTGATAAAACTTTTCGCAAACGTTAAAACCAATATATATTGAATATTGCAATATATAGATCAGCGTTCGCACTTTTTTCATGCTATCTTACACAACTGTACAATACATACATAAAATGTCTCATGATTCAAACTTTTGTATCGCCTAATAACGAAGGTATGACTCCGATTTTTAATTTCGATCATTAGAACAAACATTTGGAATATGTAAAGATCATATAAATTATGAAAAAAAAAAAAACCAAAACATTCAAGTGCACAAATCAAATAGGCGATACAAAGAGATTGGATCGAACACGATACGTATGTACTCTCCAGGTGTTAATAAAAAAATTTTTAGTCGTCTGCCGAATACACTGGGACGGTAATGGACAACGGATAATATAAGTCTGCAGTTAATTATCACTCTTTTTTTCTAGATGGAAAAAGCTCCAGAAAAAAAGTAAAAAAAAAAAGCAAAAAATCTCAACAGTAATCGCCGAAGTCGATTCTGCTATCAATGTCAGTAATAACCATAGTCAGTAATAAAATTACCGTATCCACTGTAGTCGTAGCCGCCGTAACCTCCGTACCCACCCCCACCATAATAATCATATCCGTATCCATCGTAGCCACTGCCGTATCCTCCCTGGCCGTAGCCACCGCCGCTGTAGCCGCCATAGCCGCCCTGTCCCCATCCGCCTTGGCCACCGAATCCGCGACCTCGGCCGCCTCTGACTCCACGGCCACCGCGACCGGGTGGTCCGCCGCGCATACCGATCATACCACCGTCCGGTTTGGGTGTGGCCTTCTTCACGTCCACCTATTTAACATTCAAGAATTTCCAATCAAATCCGCCTAAAACTCGTTATACTTTTCGTCGATCGATTTTCTTAGATAAAAAGAAATATAATCGTAAATGTTGGTGTCATTTTTTTTTTTTCAAGCTTTGTAACAATGCGATTTTCTTTAATCGTCTACTCACTTCTTTGCCATTTATCGTTTGTTTCGAGGTCTTTAGCAGTTCATTGACCACTTGTTCAGACTCGAAAGTGATGAAGCAGAATCCCTTTCTCTGGTTCTTCGTCTTGTCGAAAGGCATCTCCACCTCGACAATCTGAAAGATTGGTGTTATTTATAAGCACGCTTTCTTAAAAATATTTAACATAAAAAAAAGATAAAATATTTACAGTCCCGAACTGCGAGAAAAAACTCTTAATATCATCATCGGAGAGTTCTGTCGAAAGGCCGCCGACAAATATTTTGCCATGCCTGGCTTTCGCCTTCTTGGGATCAACTTTCTTGTTGTTGATCACATGATCACCAGCTGACATGATCTAAGAAATTATAAATATTTCTTAGAAAATTATTTTGATGTGATACATCGAAAAAACATTTTTTTTTTAATAAAAATACTTCAGAAAAGGAATTTCATATGTCGTCATATGCACTCAGTAGCAGAACTGGTATCAACCAATCATCATTTTATATATAAAACGTATTAAAATTGCTCTTACAATGATAGAAATTATATTATTACATCATGATAAAGTTCGAAATTAGTTTACATAAAAACAGAAGCAATTACTTTGTCCAAAGATTCAGCCTTAGTGAAAACGATAAAAGCAAATCCCCTCGATCGACCTGTATTTGGATCTGTCTTGACATTGATGCTTTCAATATCACCGTACGCGGTGAAATGTTCTCTCAGTTCCTCTGCAAATGTACAAGATTTTTATAGATTTTCGAAATGCATCTTATATCGAAAAATAATCATGGAAATCATTCTTTAAGTTCAGTAAGTTTGTTCTTTTCACATGACAATGTCATCCAAAGGTGTCCTAAGATAATACATCATAACATGCTGTTTCTTTTTCTTATTTTACGCTCTGTGATTTTTTACAATTTTTTTCTAGGATAAAAATTAAACAAATATAATTTTAAAGATAGCTACTTACTGTCGGTTGTTTCCCAACTTAAACCGCCGACAAATAATTTCCTGTAAAGAAAAAAGAAAAAAGTTAAAACAAAGGGAAGTGAATAAAATGTATATCGAAGTTTTTAATTATTACGGAACCGAATGTTTGTAGCAAAAATCTACGATCACTATTCAGGCTTATCAGATTACTCAGATGTCAGCAAATTCTCAAATCTCTGCAACTGCGCGCAAAAACGTTGTCTGCAATAAAAACGGTAAAAAGATAGCGCATGGCAGTGTGCCTCTTTTGCAAGTGACTGATACAAGCTACTGCCTAGAAATATAAACTGTTCATCAAATAACACTAATCGTTTCTTATCGTTGCGCATAATTTTTCTCTCATTTAACTACTATGCTTGAGTACACAATAGATAAAAAGTAATGAAGATTGGAAGTACCTATCGTTCAGAGAATCCTGGTTAGCTCCAGCCGACCTGTAAAGCAACGGAATGAATTTATTTATTAACAGACGAATTTTTCAAACGTGCTAATCGATATTAAAGACTAAGACCGAAAAACTTGACTTTTGATTGAAAGAAAATAATTCCATTAATTATTGAAAAGAAAAAGGAGTTTTGACTTTTTGACCCCTGGAAAGATTAGAATCAGTTTGTTAACGCACGAAAAAATTGAAGTTGCAAGCGATATACAAGAAACGTAACAGACCTGTAGTGTCATTCGCAAAAAGGGCACTATCGAAGAGATTTAGGAAATTTTATTTTAACAAGTTGTGTGTGTACATATATATATATATATATATATATACATAACACACACCACATACGTACAAGGCTAAATATATATATTCATATGTATATATCTATACGGGCGCATAAATTTAAATTATAACTAATTGGATCACTTATATCGAAATTTAGAAAATTTCTTACGATAATAAACATAATAGTTACAATTCAAAGCAATTACAAAAAATATAGAATACCATTCCTAGAATAAATGAAAGTTCACTGTTGAAAATAGCTTATATATGTATCTGTCCTTTGTAAAATAAAGTAAAACGAGATACAACCATGAGAAGACTGCACCCAGAGACCTTGCTTCGAACATTTAATTGTCAACAAAAAAAAAAAAATAATAAATAAATAAAATAAATAAAATAAAAGAAAAAAACTTAGGAAAAAAGAAATATATGTATATATGCAAAAATCAAAAGCAACTGGAGAGAACAAGGTACTTTTCATCGATGTTCTTGTGAGAACTCGAGCAATAGTTACAACTTCAGTTGACATACACAGCTGCTCCTAAACAAGGAAACAAGTTTTAACTTTTCCAAGTGTGACTGTTGATTGGCCCAAAGAATATGGCATATGGTAGAATAGACTGCAACTCTATATCGAAAAGCTAAAAAAATTGTCTTCACATTACAATTTAATAATAGACGATTCTTGATACTTTCAATTGACATATATATATTCATATGCACATAATATAGATCGATAATATCGGACATTTATCTCTATTTGTAAATATGTTTGTTTTCTCTCTTTCTCATTCTCTCTCTGTCTCCCTTTTTTATAACACTCATTGATAAATTGTACGATGCAAGGATTATTTCAAGTCCTTTTTCTGCATTTGAACAACGAGCCGTAAGCTCCGTTTTTGATCGTGCTTCGACACGATAACTGTCTGTATTTATTATATTTATAGTCGATCTGTTCACAGAGATATCATTTATTTATTTAGGGCTGGTGATAAATACCGTAGGCACCAGTCACTCGCCGGTAATCAGTTGTTGGTCGAGTCACGTTTTCCATCTGCGAGCCGCCCGCCATGTGATAACCGTTGTTGGCCACCTGCAGACCAAGCCACATAAACTGGGGTTAATCGCGTTCCGACCTACTGGACGTTTTCGCGTTTGCCCTAGTGACTCTGTGCTTTGATCACGCCCAAACAGCATTTGGATCGGAAATTACTCTACGCGTGACCCAGCAGGCAAGTGTGTGTCTTATCGATCTGATCGCAATTAACGCGACTTCCAGTGCTTGTGTTATGAAGGAACTTGTGACTTGAACTTGACGGAGACTTCTCGCAATAATTCAAACTCATAAATCACTGCGTAAGGCTTCATACGGTTTTCGGTTTCTCATTGATCCCAGCGTACGTATTTTGTCAATCGTGAGCAATTGACTATTACCAGAATTCAGCTGCAGAATGAACGTACGAGGATAGAAGATTCAGCTGGCCAAAAAATGTATTCGAAAGTTTACGCTCTATAAAAATATTACGATTATCATCTGCATAGTGTACAAATTTGATCAACTGCAGAACTCACAAATTTTCTTCATTAATTACAAAACTATAATTACAATTAACTAGATAGGTATAGAAATAAAAGAGTTTACACAAAGTTACGAAATTTCAAACAAATAAATGTATACCTCGCAACAACAGCACATATAAAATTACAAATTAGCGCTCATTCATGTACTCACGCATAAGTGTATTATGTTATTCTTGCGATATACAGCATGCAATAATTTGTTCCAATTTTCGATAATAATTATTTATCATTATAGATGTATCAGAGACGCAGTGGAGCACCGGCACATTTGGCTATATACTTCCATTACTTCACACATAGAACTCACGTCCCTTTCTATGATCACACTTTTAACTATGGATAAGAGAAAGTAACATCTCCAAATTCATATTTCGCAATGAGACTCTTTTGCAAATATATATATATAGGTAAGCACATGTAAACATCAATCATACTTTCGATCCAATTTGTATTAAGAATACAGAATTTGAAGATAACATCCACTTTCTCTCAAAAGTTTTATATATTTCTAAAATTTAATCTAAGAATGGCTTACCCTTTTTTTTTTTGGAAAAGCATACCTCAAATTAGTGTAAGAGTTTTCAAAAATCCAAGGCTGCAAGAATGTAAAAAACAAACAAAAAAGAAGAAAACGAGAAAAAAAGATACGTCCTCTGATAAAATGGAATGTTATGATTGTGGAAAGAAAAAATACCGAGGTGAGAGCATAATTGTGCAATTATAAAATATTTACACAGATAAAAATCCCCGTATCATCGACATTAGATTAAAACAGTGTTGGGTGGTCAAATTCATCCAGCTCGAGATCTCGTTACGCTGAAAAGAGGAGAGGAAAAGAGGAGCACGATGTTGTGTGATACAACAGTGGGGATAATAACTTATAATCTACATTTTGTGTAAAGTGTATCGCAACACAAAACAAGATTTCTTTAGTCTACTGCCTTTCTCGAATAATTTTGTTTTATCTATTGCGCTCACTTAATCGTTACATTAAAACATGAATATTACTCTGCAAGTGTGTGTGAGATTCATTCTAGCATTCAGAATTTCCATTGAACGCACTTGCACAAGGGACGAGTTTCCACGTGTTTATAACGGAAGTGGCGAGCGCGCCCAAGCAACAAAGCGTTCAAAAATCGCTTTTTCACGCGGTTTATTATAGAATTCTCGGCGTCTCGCACTCATTATTCGCATTTTTATTGCATCACATATTGCTGTCTCTTTCTCTCTCACGAGGCTTGAGCTCGCCTCTCTCGAGCCCGCGGCCGGCGCCTCCACTCGCTCTTACCCGGCAATTGTCTACTTTGGATTTTCTTGTTAATAAATCGCGGGAAAAAGAAGGAATCGCTAAACGACAGATATTCACGTATCATGCGCGCCACGGCGAAGAAAGAAGCCCAAATCATCGAAACGTAAGCGTTCGTATCGCGCTGATGCAAACGGATTATTCCTCGCGGCGGCGGCGGCCCGCGCGCGCCTTCGCCATTTTGTGAGACACGCGCGCGTGGCCGCCGTGTAACAACGCGTTGTGCAGCTATCTTCGTGATTCGCGCGATCGCGGCGGGTGACGCGGTGTGAAATCCGAAGCTATCGCGAAACAATCGACAATCCGGCACGGCAGAGAAAACTCCGTAGCAGTTACCTGTCTTCCTGAGACTCCTGGTTGTTCTCTATGGCGTCACCGCCGGCACCGCCGTTCTCGGCATCGCCGTTCTGCTCTGCGAAGTTCTGGTCCGCGATATCCTCGCTGAAATCCTTGCTCTCCTGATCGGCCATCGCACCGCTTACCGTCGATACCTTGTTACGTTGCAGAGACACTTCGGTACGCGAGTGCAACTCGCGACACTAATGGAATACCTTTGTGAGCACAAAGCCGCCCTGCGAGATCCGTTCGGTACGTCCGTTCCGTACGACTGCCGAGTGGAGAAGGAGGCAAAAAGAGGAACGGCGTTTCCGCCGAGATTTAGGCGCGAAGCATCGTCAAGTGCGCATGCCTCGTGTGTCGTGCTGCTTCGCCAATGCACGCGCGTCATGCAGGACTGTACGATGTATCTCTGCGCCCCGCACTTCAGTTTTTACAGCCGCACGCGTAAGTTCTACTGTACTGAAATAAAACCAAACAATCGTGATATCTGTAAGTATATCCTCTTCGACGAGATGTCGAATAATAATTAAAAACGTCTCCCATTTTATTTAAATTTCTTAGTTGTTTTTTCCATGCGAATAAGAATGTTTTTATCATTCATGAAACAACTTATAGGAATTTTAATAAATTTGTTTTTTAGATGAATTTCACAGCATTAAGTATACGAACGTTGGTGAAAACTACAAATAAATGTGAAATGACAAGTTTTTCTCCATTAATGTCTACCAAAAAAATTGCTAATTAAGTTGCAAACACACGAGGGGCGATTGATCAAAATAAAATCAAGTGTTCGTTCCTGATCGACGTTCTAATCGATGAGCATGGCGGGAGATGCGTCATCTTCGGAGAAGGGAGAAGAGTGGAAGAAAGGGAAAGGAAGAGAAGACCGATTTAGCGGTATGCATGAAAGATTTCAGTTAGTTACGTGGTGGGGGATTAACAGGAAAAGGGGAAGCCAACGGAAATGCTAGGAAACGCTGTTGACGAATGAAAAGAGGATCCAAAAAGACCTGTGTTATTCGCTGCAACATTTCCCAGCATTCCACTCGTGCTTTTATTTCTCAGAAATCAATAAAATGACGAGCGTTCTCAACGAGTAGATTTGATGGCTCATATAGATTGTTCGGACAATCGCTGTTTGACATCGCGATGTTCAATAAAATAAACGAAGCAATATAGTATTTCGCGTTGCATTGGTTAGGGCGAGAGTAGCATAAAACATGTTTTTCGCTATCACGGCGCTGGCGTTGACACGGCCAGCGCCATCTGTTGAGAGCGATGCGGAAAATTGTCAGCTTGTTTAATCTTTTTAATTTGACTCTGTATCAATGATAACCTTTGATTTTAAAGTTTGTTAATCATTATGTGTGTCAAGAAACGTGAATATATTTTAACGTTATCTTCATAAAGTAATTTTTTTTAATATCACTTAATAGAAATGTTTTTGTTGTATGATATTTGTATTTTATCTATTATTATACACTTGTTTATTTTAAAATGCGAATCTAACAGCACAACATTATTGCTAGAATAATTGCGAAAATCAATACAATTTACAATTTCGAGCGTATATGAGATAAAGTCGTACATTTTAACATTATATCTGAAAAATATAACGTTTCTTATTTTGTTTTGTCATTTAAACTATTTTGGACTGTGTAGAAAAAAGACACGGGATTTTTCCATCTACCTTATATATTATTCCATCGCGATCGATTTTTGTCTCAGATTAAATTGCATTTTCGTAATTTTGTCAAGTCTGTTTTAACATTGCGCAAAATTTTTGTGAGATCTGCGAACAAATTACAAATGCCGGAGAAACAAGAGGTTCCTTCCCTTCTATTTTCCGAGAAAATCATGCATTAGATTTTTAAAATACATTTGTTGCAGGCAATTCTAATGCAAAAAATAATTTTAGGTTCTGCATGATGTCAGGCGTACTTGCAATAAGATACGAGCCGTTGTATTTCGCATTGGACTCGATTTGTGGGAGTTTTACAAACCACTGGATCCCGACAAACGTTGTTTAATATCAGGTATAAATACCGGACATTGGCACTGACAAGCGATTGCTTCTGACGTTTCTAAAGTTAGCTGTCGAGTGGTGTGACTATTTCTGGATACGCGATGCGATGGAAGGTCATCGATAATACGCATTAGCTGTTTGCAGAGTTTTCATTAGCTTTACAACCTTTTTTATAAACTTATTAGTTTTTATGTACCATCTTTTATATGTATCAACATTTCAATATGCAGACTTAAGATTATTTAAATATCGCATTTATGCAAAAATCAAAGTTAAGACAGTAAGTATTCAAATGGTATTATTGAAATAAATTAAAAAATAAGATTTTTAATCGAGATTACTTGAATTTGTGAATTATTTGAACGTTTAAATATTTGATTATTGAGCTTTGTACTGTATTTGTTGATTTATTTTGAATATTGATCGAGCTCTCTCTTGTCAGTAAAATTAAAAATTTTTTAAATTGAATTGCAGCAATATATGAATATTTAAGTAATCAAATATATTTGATTTGCACTACTTTACTAGAAGACTAAATGAGATGTGTAATTAATTATTAAATCCACAGAATCAAAATTTATTTCCGTTTTGGCGGGACCTCTGAAAGGCGTAATTGGTTTATCAGATAAAGAAATATGCGACGTGACGGATTATTTTCGAATTCAGGACGGTCGAATTCATTATTCACAATTTTGCGAAGTTATTCACGACAGTGGTAAGAGTAACTTTTATATAAATTTTTACATTCCTTATACAAAGATAATTTTTAATACTGTTGTTCCGATTTACATGCTAAATGTCAATACATTTTATTTTACAAATAAAACAGATCTGAATCACTTACATGAGATTCTCAGATAATGTGTTAACAGAAAGGCTTAAAAGAGAACGATGAACTGTTGATATAAGCTATATACTTGAATACTGAAGAATAATTTTAATTCGTAGCATATTTATTCAAATACCGTTAGGAGAAACCGCTATCATAAAAAACGTTACTTCTTTACGCCGTCTCTCAGCAAACATTTCTGTTTACTGATCTAGACACAACAATTTATTTTTCAATTTTATATTGCACAAACGAGTTAATAGGTTATTCATAAATGAATAATTTTAATTTAATATGATATTTTTATTATTAATATATTATATTTATTATTATTTATTATTTATATTTATTATTAAAGTTTCTTGTAATATTGAAGAAGTTTTAATTTATTACTGTTGAAATTCAATGAACATAATGTTGGCATTTGAGTTCTTGAAAATGTATATAAAATTTTAAATTTTATCTACTTTTTTTCTTATTTTGTCTTTATTTTTTTCTTGAATTATATATCTTCTCTCTTTTGTCATATATTACATATTGTATATTATTCATCAAGATATATCTCTGTGTTTAAATAGTCGAATTGAGTTACGTATATTATGCAAATTTGCAAAATTTTCTATGTATGGCAGTCCCCGATTTTGGAAAAGACAAGCCCCTCGTGACTGGTTCAGAATGCGAAGATCTAATGCATGTAAATGTCTTAAGCGGCACAGAAACACGAAAATTGAATTTGATAATTATTCAGATTGCTATTCTGGCGAATAAACGAAAAATTGCTCTTCAATCATATTTTCAAGATTACGAGCTAGTACGTTTAATTCATTTATCACTGTCACTGTCACTTTTTGTGATATCACATCAAACTTGTAATCTATTCTATATTTAACTATTGTATTTGAAAGCTATATATACATAATAATTTCTTACTTTTTAAAAATTTTATCCAGTTATGAATAAGCTAATGCTTATGATTTAATGACTAATGTTTTTATAAGAAATGTAATGATTAATAATTGATTTTCTCTAACTTTTTATTGCCAAAAAATTTCATTATTTATTTTTTATTTACAGATAGATCTGTATATAAAAAAATAAAAAATAATTAAAAATACGGCGAGCATTTATCGCAAAAATACAGAAAGCAGAGTGTATTAACAGTTTTTCATTAATTAATAAATACTTTTAGATTGCGAAGAACGTTGGCACAGTCACTTTCGTCCATTTCGGTCGGATACTAAAATTTCTGGGCATCGTTCTCGGTGCCGAGGAGTTCTCCTTGCTCGTGAAGAGATTCGCCAAAGATAGCTACACTGTGAATTATGTGGCATTTATAAAAGCCATTGATGAAGCCAAGTGCTATTTGGACGAACATGGAACGATGGATCTTAGTGAGGTATAGTTTAAACTTTCTTTCCTTTTCTTTTTAGATTACTAGAAAGAATACAAAGTTAAATAAATTAAAACATAATGTAATTTTGCTTCACAGGAGCTGATCGATCAATATCCCGGTCGAATAATTACAGCCAAGTTGCCTAAACTCCCGCGACCTGAAATCGGCAAAGTCATACCCAGTCAAGTGTTGGGTAGACAAACGGTGTTTCATCCGGTGATGGAGCCGACAAAAGAAACGATGTCTACGCCGGAAGTCATTAAACGCATTCAGAGGCATATTCTTGAACACCGAATACGAATTCATGATTTCTTCAAGGTTATTCTCAATCGATTAGTCATGCTTTCGCGGATTAATTAGCGTTATCACGGTTGAAATTTCATATGCTGCGGGTTGGTCAATGTTATCTTCTACAATAATTCAAGCTTGATATTATCACGTCGGGTTATCGCATAGATATGGTGCACGCTCATATCAGCTTATGGATTTCGGGATTTATTAATGACTTGTGAATTAAGCGATATAAATTATAACAGGACTTTGACCGCTTGAACACCGGTCGTATAAACGTCTTGCAATTTCGAAGAGCACTGGCTGCGCTTCAAATATCGTCTTTGGGCCGTTTGTGGCTGGTCGAACCGGAAATCGATGCTCTAATTATGCTTTATAAGACTGCAGATGATCCCGATTGCGTTTGCTGGCGCACATTTGAGGATGATATCGATCAAGGTATAATATTATACATTGTGATATAAATGCAATTTTTAATAGTATCTTCTGAGAACGAATACTTTCAAGTTGCTACAAATTTGTAGAACATAATTATAAATGTATATATTTTGTTGGTTATAATATTTTGATAATATCTAAATTAATCAAATTAGATTAATCAGAAAATATTGAAAATGACTTAGTTTTTAGTAAAAGATATAGCAGAATATAAGATAACAAATAAAAAGTTTTTTGAGAAACATTTTTTTAGGAATAAATAGATAGCTGTAATAAGTAATAAATTAGTTTATAAATGATATCTTTTTTTGTTAATTATTGATTTATAACTCACATTTTATTTTAATTTAGTTTTCACTGTGAAGGGACTTGATAAGTTACCATGCCTCAAAGTGGAGTCACCGCCTCAAGAAATAGCTGAATTACCGCGAAGAGGCACATCGAATTGGCAATGTGAACCGAAAAGTGTGAGAGATCTCTGCGAAGATATCTTGCTGAGGATAAAATACCGAGTCGACGAAAGGCAAATTTTTCTAAAGCCGTTTTTCAAAGACTACGACAAGTATGTTTATCTTAAAATTATTAATTGATTAGTTTTTGTATGATGACATAAAATAATTTTATAAATAATATTTTTATTTCATTTTTGATATATATAAATTATATCAGAGTAAATAACAGATAAATAATTATAACTAGCTTGTAACAATTTGTTTTATAAATTAATGTAAATTTTTTCAAAAGATTATTATAAGTGTAATGCGAAATAATTGTCTGAAAAATCGCTGCGTTAATTTTTTATTCGCTAACTCTTTATTCTTTATACTTTTTTATTTATTTAACAGAACGTTACTATCAATAGTACTAAAAAGTTAAGTAATTTTTGAATCAATTAAATTAATATTGGATCTCTTTTTTAGGCACAATCGCGGTCACGTGACGCGAGCTCAATTAAGACAAGTCCTTACTTCGATAGCTATACTTTTGTCTTCGGAGGAAGTATTTACACTGGAACGAAGATATAACGACGACCTGGGTTTCAATTATACTTGGTTCCTGCAGGAACTGGAAGCGCGGCCGATTGAGGAACCTTTGTACCATCAAATGTTGGAGGATAAAAAGAGAATCAATGCTGAAAAGCCGCCGTCTGAACCTCACGAGGACGAAACTAATATCGTATTGATTTTGGCTAAAATTAAAGCTAAAGTCGTACGCGAAAGGATCAAAGTAATCCATCATAATTTACTCGTTAACTGGTAGAAATAGGAATCATTTGAGTTAAAAATAATTCGTTGATTTTATTTTACACACAGGTTTTCGAATTGATGCGTCAATACGATAAACACAATCACCTTGTTCTTTCGAGGATAGATTTTGTCAGGAGTCTGGATCAACTTCGTTGCAATTTGTCACCTGCTGAAGTAGATACAATTACGAAAGTTTATCAGGCGCCTCCGAAGTACGTGCTAATTTCAAAAATTAGAATTGCTAATTTTAAGAAGTGGATACAAGAGAAAAATATCAATATTTTAATCTGTTAAAATATCAAACAAATTGTATTCCATATAATATTCATTATATTGATCTTTTTATATAAAAATTACTTAACAATTTAATTTTCCACTAAAATTAATTAAAAATTTTTTTTTGTATTCGCTATCTTATTATAAACTATTTTTGTTTGCAAAAAAGAGATCCAGTGGGACCTGATTTTGTCGAGTATGTGAAATTTGTCACTGCTGTGGAAGGACTCGAGAGGGACTTGGAAAAAGCTCCACTTTTAATTCCCATGCAACACATACCCTCAGAGGCAAACGAGAAAACCTTTCTGAATTTCGACGAACGACAGACGGTAGCAGTTGCGATGGATAAACTGTGCAAAGTACGAAGTCCGAATCTGGAAGAGCTCTTCAAAGTGAGTATAAAACTATATTAAATTATAATAATATAATATGAGATCAGGATAAGAAAACATAATTTTTTATTATTTAAAACGTGTTTTCCTCCTTTTTATAAAGGAAAAGAAAAAAACATTTGATAAATATATATTTTCAGGATTACGATAAAGAGAACATCGGTACAGTTTGCAAGGAACGTTTGATTAAGGCATTGTCGATTAGGCAAATGTTGGAGTTAATTACTATTAAAGAATTGGATGCTGTACATAAGTGTTTCTCAATTGAAAGAGGCGGCCGATTGGAGATCGATTATAGAGCTTTTCTACGCGCTTTGTATCTATTACAAGAAAATAAAAGAACTTTATTCTTTTAGAAGATGCGGCTAATTTAATTAGTGAAGAAATTGAAGAATATTTTTTTGTTAATACACTATTGTTTATGTTGTGGAAAGGATATTGTTTGTTTCAAGTTCTTTTATGTTGTAACATTGCTCTCATTTGAATTTCAATATCTTTTACGTAAGATGTTTAATGTTTTTCAATATTCTATTTTTTTAATATATAACTTTTCTTTTGGATGAAAAAATATTAATATTTAATAGGTATTATAAAGTTTTATGAAAACACATTACATTGTGTTTAAATTACGTGAGTTATAAAACTCGTTGGATCGACTTTATCGGAAAGATGAATTGCTTTTCTTCACTAATATAAATTTGTGCATCGATTTCTTCACTAATATTAATTTGTTCAATCTGCTAGCATATCGAAATATATGTAATTTTTAATATATTAATTTTGCAAAGAGAATTACATATAAAAGTAGTTTTCTGCGAAAAATTATCTTTTTTTGTGATTTAAGAAAACTTCTGATATAAGGACAGCGCTCAAATTTTATTTTATATAAAAAATTTTAATTAAAGAATCTTTTTTAAAAAATATGTCTTTTAACAAGAACTAATAGATAATTATATTATAATGTTAAAACTTAAATTTTAATTGAAATATAACTTAAAAGAAACAATTTACGAAATATGGCCAGAGGATGTCATTCGATCATATCCTGGAACCGCTTCATGGTCAAAAGACGCTCCCTCGCGTTTAAGTGTTTATGGGTCATTGCCGCTAGATGGCAAAACCTTTAAAAAAATGAGTGCATAGTGTTTGAGCGCCAAATGTTAAGGACTGATTTTTCTAACATCTTGATAGGTTTACTCGTCAATTATATAATAAATATCAGTAATCCTCGGTGATTAGAATATCGAGTAAAATTACCTCAATTGTTATTATCAAGAGGTAATTCAATTTTCTGTTTTTTAACAATCTGTAATATTTTTTAAAAATCAAAAATAATTTTAATTATAGATAATTAACATTCAGATATTTTAAATACAATCAAAAGACTAGTGTGGCTTGGAAAATAATATAAAAAAAAAATAATATCGAACTGCATAGAATCATTGTGAGATGCAATATTGCTTGCTGAGACATTTTCATTGTTTTTTTAGTGGACAAATTAATGGAAACTACATACTATATATCTTTTTTTTTTTAAGTTAACTTCCACATTTGTTGTATTTTTTGCGAGTATTGTAATATAATATGAGTCTCTGTTTGATATCAATCGTGCCGTATCTTCGGAAAATTGGACGTCTACAAAAATAAAAAATTATTCGAGTTTGAGATCTCACCTAAGATTATATACTGCTTTATGTATGCAAATTTTTTAATCTTGATTTATTTTTTAATTTTTATTGATATGAGATGAAGTCCGTGAATTGCTTTGCTCGATCGTTACTTCTGTCTCATCGCTGAATCATCGTTTCCACTGTCAGGTGGAATCTCTTCAATATCAAATCCCAAAATGTTCAACAACGAAACCCAGCGCCAACACGCCGTGTTTACTTTGCCTTACTCTCTGGACTATTTGCAATACATCATCTGTGAAGAATGGACCGTCGCCTGTCCTGGAGATTTGGTCTTCAACAAGGTAAGCGTCGAAATCTTTCAAATTACAGATTACATTTTTCAACTATTTTGATAACAAATTAACATTACTTATTACGATATGTAGATACAACTATATTTAAAAAAAACATATTATTTATTCAACAACTATTTAAATAAGAAAAATTAAAAAAAATAAAGATTTAATTATTTTAAACATTAAAATTAAATAATTAAGAATTTTATAATTCCACGTTACATTTTTTCGCATTTGTTAAATTTCAATTTGAAAACGCGATTTATTTTTAATTTTAGAAATAACCGAGACGAGATAGTGTGTCACTGCGCAAATAAGTGTCTCATTAATTTTTAATTTTTTCACTTGTTAACCGGCGCGTATAGTAATCTTGTAAACGGATGATACAGTTCTACTTGGACTCAAGATTTCTCGTTGCATGATATTTATGTTATTCTCGGCATTTTTCTAAGTTAAAATATGCCCTTTGATATCGTGGGTTTCGCGACGTTTCATGGATTGTCCAGAGTGCTGCACATCGCGCAAAAAAAACTCATCCGCTGCATCGATCGTGTTCCTAGAAGAATTCCCTGCGGTGCAAGAGGCAGGAACGATTTCATTCATCTTCGTCGACCTCTCGCCTCTTCCTGACACAATGTCTCGTTAGTCTCTCATACTCGTCCTCGTTTATTCATACATCCTTTATACGTGTTTTTCTATTAGTATATCATTTCTCGAATCAATACGTTGATAAAATGTATCGTTACATTTTAAATTCTTTAATTATTTGTGCAAATTAATCAAATTCAATACGATCAATTTAAATAATTACCACATTTTCGAAAATTGAATCGATAGTTTTTTTTTTTTGAAGAATGATTGCGTTGAATAAATTCGATTTGATGCTCCTCGTTAACTCTACTGGCGTTAAAAATAATAGTCAAAATCAAAAGTGGTATACGTCTGCGTCATTAAAATTTGAGAGAAATAAATTTTTACTCAGAATACTTTTTAACATTCTTCACGCTTGTTGAAATTTTTAATTAGAGATTGTCCCTTTGATCAGACATCAAAACTATGAGGCTAGAAAGGTACGTTACGAGGTGCTCTCCGCCGTGTTATAATAAAACGAGAAGCGTGGCGAGAGAGAGAGAGAGAGAGAGAGACAATGGGGAAACCGATCTTATTTCGAAACACTACACCCCGTTTGCGATCCACAAGTGCGTCACGTGGAGTAAGAGTCGCGGCCTCGTATCGCCCTTCGATAACCCGACAGTGAAAATCCCCTCGTGTTTCGTCATATCCAGTTACGAACCGCACGAGCGCACGTGTGCGTGTTGCCGTCCCCGGGTGCTTCACCTGACACGTGGCCCGAGCGAATTTCAATTCACCGGTTCTCCGCGGATGTCGGTGCTTGACTTCATGACGGGGTCGCCGGGACCCACTCAACCAATCGTCCTTTTTAATTTGCCGTTCTTTTACGTTCGTAAAGATCGCCCGCGATATCGCGTCACGCTCGCAGTGGCACGCACTCTTTCCGAAAATAGATGAGTCAAAGCGAACCGATACGGAATTTATTTTTTGCCAAGTTGCAAGATCCTCTGATCTATGCGATTTCAAAAGTTTCTTTAATTGTCGCGGAACTTTTTTACGTTGTTTTACTTTTTTTTAGTCGAATATTTATGTGGGATAATTATTTCTTTTTTTTGTGTGTGAAGATCCACTGTGACATTTTTTTTTTAATTTCAGGATACTGGCAAGTGCGATATCCGGCAAAATACGAAATGCGTGCCTTGGCAACGTTGAGCAATCATCGATAATATGCACATGAAAAAATGTATTACTTTAAGATTTTGAGTGTTTTACACAATATCTTACATATGCTGTTTATTTACGGCAATAATAATATTATTGTACAATGGACAGAGTTATTAAACTAATAGGTATTTAGAATTTCTAATTTTATTAGAAGTGAGTGACTTTTCATCATCGTAAAAATAATTAATAATTAGCAGAAATATTTCAAAACTGTTATAGTTTGCAGAAAGAAAAATAATTTTGATTTATCTTCGAAAAGACTAAAATCGGGGCTTTCAAATATCTAAAGTACGGATATAGTGCGAAGTGGCAGAAGACGGCAGAATTACAAGTGCCGTTTCCAGCTTGGCAGGAATGGGTCAAACGATATCGACCATGCGAGAGCGGGGTGAGAGAGCTAGGAGATTTGCTTCGCAATCCACCACTTCGGTATCCCAATCTGGTATCTATTCTCGTAATTATTTGCACTTGTCACATTGTCCAACCCGAAAGATCAACAGTACCTTCTCTATTCAATCAATGACGAGCACAGTCGTTACTCGGCCATTAATAGGTTTTTCTTGCTTCAGTCCGCTCAGTTTTGACGTCAGTCTTTGTCAACGCCGTAATACCCACCCGATTATTCTCCATTCTTGGCTAAAGCCGAGCATATTGGCAATCCCGATTTTATAAATTATTCGTGGAGTGCTCAGCTTAAGTGGATTTTACGATCGAGATAGTTAATGAGATTTCTACGTGTGAACACATCGAGTATTGTAACGTGAAGCCGACAATAAAGGTAATAAAATGAAAATTTTAATTTTTCTGATTAACAGTTAATATATAATTAGTTTTTTTTTTAATACGATAGCAATAATAAGCAGCTGTGGAGAAAAAATATAAACGGTGGATATTTTTAAATTCTATTCAATAATCCGTCGTAATATTTTAGTAACAATTATATTTCCGCGATGAAGTGACAGCTTAAGTTTTATAACGCAGAATTAAATTCACGGCGTTTATAATTTTACTCATAATTTTAATGACCGAAATATCATTAGCGCAATTTGCACAAATTTACGTACTTGAATTATTTCGCAATTAACGTTTCGCAAAATTGTGCCTAATTACGAAAGAATAATTAATATTGATCGAATTCTACTCAGGCGCCACTTTGTAATTCGGCAAACTCTGGATATTTTATGTCAATTTCAACGTCTGTCCCTTAAAACAAGACGTCGCTTAAACAAGACGACTTCGAAAAGATTTCTTCGTGAAATAACAATCGAACAATTGAACAAGTTTTATCAAAAATGCATTGACTCGCCCACTTTGTTCATCCTAGACATCCGATATGTTTTTCGATGTGATCGATCTACCTTTTCATCCGTACGTTCTCCAATTCCCACCCCGCTTTGCCACCTCCGCGAAATTCCGCCTACGCGCTGGCGCAGCTGGAGAATCCAAATTGTTACTGCAGACGTCAGTCGTAGTAACTTCACGACGATGTTGGATTCGATTTTTCGTCAGTGAAAACTTGCGGAAATATACGTTGAAATTTATGAGATTCAGATACATTCGCATTTCTGGAAATCGCAATAGATTACAGATTTTGTGTCGTTGTTTAAAAAAAAATAGAACTGTCCTCTACAGTGAAGACAGTTTTTTTTTTATATTTGAAAGAAAAGTATATTACAAGCGTGACATAATTTTGTATACGTATAAAAGGATTTAGGAAAAGATTATTTGCAAAAACCCGGTGCATCGCGAACTATATCCGATCCTTCCACTGACAAGACTTCTTGTTAAGTATAGCCTATGTATAACTTTTGAAGGCCAATTAAGTTATTTGCGTTTACTGTGAAAATAGATCAACGCAACTTTACAATACTACGGCACCAAAGTACAAAAATACCTGACATTTACGTTTTCATTTAAATTTCTAGTCAGCCATTCTCTCGTGCCATTAAATTTGTCTGACACAACCGTTTTTGCTATCCCGAGGCGATCTAGACGTGGTCTAAAAGACCCTTTAACTTCTGTTATCACATAATTTCACGGCAAAAATAAATTCTTCCGATTTTCTCTTTCAAAAATTGCGTGCCGAGGAGACGTTGATCCCGAGATATCCGGGGTGTATCGCGTTAGTGAAATCGGCGGCACGAATCGGCGCCCGCGTGAGAAAGACGCGCGGCGTTCGCCAGGAAATAATGCGCCTGAATGAGACCGACATTGAGGCTGACTCTTCATCTCCCGAGCGAACTCGTTCTCGTCGCTCGCTTTCCATCCCTGAATTTCCGCTCATCCATTCGCCGTGCGAAAGGGGCGAGGAGAGAAGAGGAGAGACGGAGAGAGAGAGAGAGAGAGGGGGTACGATCTCTCTTGGCCGCGGGCGACTCTCGCAGTCGGGGGGCGCAGACTCGCGGCAGCCAGCCAAAGCCGATAGTCCACGCCCCCGCTTCGCCCCCGGCGGAGGCGTCGAGTTCCGCGGGAGTGAAACGGGGTGGTGAGTGAAAGGGGGAGAAAGGCGGCGAGGGGGCGAACGGGTGGAGCGCGAACGGGGGGCTGGCGGGGTGACGCTGCGCACCCCCGCGCGACGCCGCTTCGCCGTGACGTCACGGGGATCGAATCAATATCACCGCCGGTGTCCTCCCTCCGTCATCGTCGGTCCTCGCGCGACGGCGGACGGTCGAGTACCGCCTCAGTACGAGGTGGCCTCCGCGACTGTACGGAACGACGGTACGTTCCGGCAGCGTCGTTCCGACAACGACGACGACGACGACGACGACGGCGACGACGATCACGGTCACGAACACGATAAACAAGGCGCCGGCCCGTTCGACCCCGGGCTCGTCGGTTCCCGCGGTCTGTTGCTTGCTTCTCTCGGAACCGGTGTCCACGCTTTCCGTCACGTGAAGTACGACGACGCTGTACACCCCGTCTTCGTCGCCGGTTCTCCTCCGATTCGGCCGCTGGTACCCCATAGTCATCAATCGCCCGCATTGAAAACTGGTCCCACGATGAGGTAGTCGCGGCCGTCTCGGGTGCCTATCGTGATCGTCGGGAAAGCCGTTCGAGAGGGAACGCGAGGGAGCTGCTCGTAAGTAACTGTAGTGGTTTTGCGCGAGCTTTTCTTAAAAAAAAAAAAAATTAGTAATTCTGAAAGGAGAAATGCAGAAGTTGTTATATCTATGGCGGTTAATGCAAAGCGGTTACATTTTAATTCACATTAATCGCTGTGAATTTATTGCCTCAACTAGCTTGGGAATATAGCCGCTCTGTGAAATAATTTATGTAGATTTATAGATCAAAGTTCAGCGCGTGAACAGAGACACTTGCGGAACTAAGTCTACTTTGTGATAATTTAATCGAGAAATTCTCTATCTTATAAAATCAACTTTTTCCCCCCCGCGATCTCTCTGTTGTTAAGTTATAGATAAATTTTCAATAAGTTATAAATGCTCTCTGAAGGGCTGATCAACGCCGGTTAACTTTAACCTTTGCTTATCTGATCGTTCGCTTGTTTCTTGAACTGGAAGACGCGCAATAATTTAATTAAATATGCAAAAATAATTACGAAAAGTTTAGAAATTGATTTCAAGTTAGTTGAAAATTACGTATGCGCATCACACAATTTTGAAGTTTTATGCTTCGCAAAATTAACAGCGAAATCTACCGATGACAGGCAGGATGTTTTTGGCATTTTGTACAAGAATTGATATTTGCACGATTAGAGACGTCAATATTTTTTTCGCGGCATTATTTGTGCGGATAACAAATGTATAGGAACACTGATTTTACGGCCGATTAATAAATTACTTAAGTCGATCGATTTAGCCGACCTTGATGTAAACTTAGCGCTAAACCGAAGCACCAAAAGACAAATTTATTCACCCGACGTCCTCGGCGACGCTTCCTTGTTCATCCGCGCTTTCGTGCGAGCATCCGAATCAGACAAAGTGTTCGCTTTTCTAGGTGAAGGACCGTGCTGATCCCCGCGATCGGTCTCGGTGCCGCAGGCGCGGGTGGAAGGCAAGGGCGGGTGGAGGAAACGAAGAAACCAGGTAGGCAGGGAAGCAGCGGGCTCGGTGAGTTGGGTGAAAATCGATGGCCATCAGCGCCCATGGGCGGCCTCGCGTTTAGGACAAGGAATAGCCCCTCCCAGAAGACCTCGCTCCGGTGGGGCGACTGCTGCCCCCCGAATCCCAACCCAGCGTCGTCGTCGGCCGTCTGGAAGCACCGTCATCAGGACATGCCGCCGGTGCCCGTGTGAGGCTGCCCCCCGCTGTTGCGTGATTGTACCTCGCGGGGATTTCAAAGGTACACCACCCCACGTTCGCGCGTCTGGCGCGGAGCGCCGATTCACACCCCCTTCGTCGATCCGAATTCGCTTTTACACGCTTCTCGAAATGGCAGCGGCATTTCTATAAAGTAGAAATCCTTTTCCTTTCCCTAGTTTGATTCTTGTTCATGTAACGTGGAGGAAAAGGAGTCCAGCGCGCGTCCTGCGAAGAAAATTCTTAGCGACACTGCGCTTTGTAGTTTTCATAAACAGAGTGTACGAGAGAAAAATCGCATCTGATGATTTGAGTCTCTTCATTTCAATTTTAATGCGCTTTCTTTGGTATTTACTCGCGATATGATTTTTATTGCGATACAAAAATTTGCATGCCTCTGTTCTTACTGTTCTCACTTCGACAATTGTTTTCGGACCCGCGTGTCTCGTGAAGAAAACTCTCAGCGCGACCGCGCTTTATAGTTTTCATATACAATATTCACTCGCAATATAAATTTTTATTATGATGTACAAACATTCCCAAGCCTCTGTCTTTATTGTTTTCACGTCGAAAATTGAAACGTTAACGTTGAACCAATTTTGGTTATATTTTACAAAGCACAAACTCTTTTATAATATGATCGCTTGCGAAAAGAATAATGTTATAAATTCCAATTCTTCGTGCAAATTTTTCAAATGTGAAAAAAGAGGAGAGCCGCAGCGTTTTTACATCGCTGCGTGAGTATGTATTCACATTTTAATCAAAGCTGCATCTTTTTGAAGCCGGGACGCGCGACGCCCCGGGTAGACCGCGCCTAACAGGATTAGAGGGTGAATCCGGCCGAGCGATTTAAACGCCCCTCGGGTAGAAACATAATATTTGCGCTTAGCTGCACTTGTTGGGCGCGAGCGTGACGGCCACGGTGTTAATCAAGCGGAAGACTTTAATATACTCTACGCGAAATTGATAAGTTCTTCTTTGTAAAACCCACGCTGAGGTTTTTGCATCCACGGTGACATTATCGTCGTCGACCGTAGCGAAGAAGAAAGAAGAAAATCCATATATCTATATTTTTTTTTTCCCTCGCGCTTTAATGGTCAACAATATATTGGATCTTAAGAAAAACTGATGACAGTTCAAAAGATCAATTTTCAGCACCATTTAAAACGTTCTTAATGTCACCGTAACTTAAATGCCAAGCCGTTAACAGACGAGAATTGTTCTTTGACAGCACAGTGTGCATTCTGATGCCAAAACGATCATTTCAAAGGAAGTTTACGATTTTTATTTTTGCATAATTTTTTTGACTCGGTGGAGTTTTTTCAACAAACAAGTTTTTTTTTAACATTATAACACTCAAAGCGCAATAAATCTGCAAATTTAATTATTATGGTTTGCGACAGTCAACAGTCTTGTATTTTTGCATCGTCGCTGAGGGTTTAAAAATCTTTTCTATGATAAAAAAATTCCTGAAGAGAAGAATTTTGTTGAAAATTGCATTCAGGTATCCAGACGGTCCCAAAGCGGATCGACCGCCGAACTTCTCGGACCTACGTCTCCGTCAACTCGAGCTCGACCCCTCCCCGAAGATGATCAACGTCGCCGGTGTGGTCTCGATCGTTCTGTTCTACCTGCTGATTCTCGGCGTGGGGATATGGGCGGCCAGGAAGAAGGAGGCGGGCAACGACTCCGAGGAGGAGGTGATGCTGGCCGGTCGCTCGATCGGGCTCTTCGTCGGAATATTCACGATGACGGCGACCTGGGTCGGCGGCGGTTACATCAACGGCACCGCCGAGGCGATCTACACGAGGGGCCTGGTCTGGTGCCAGGCGCCCTTCGGATACGCCCTCAGCCTCGTTTTCGGTAAGTCGCATCGGTTGCTATTTATTTTTTACAAATGCGCTCGTTCCTGATCCTTGGAAAGCGCAAGCTGCGCAATTCATCCTGTACTCCAGGATGCAGAAAACAGGAATTTTACGTATTCTTTAATTTTTTTCAGAAGAAATTTTTTTTAAATGTAAATTTATATTTTTTATAGTACAACATACATTAGTTTCGTTTGAAATTTCGAGGAGACAAATTTTTATAAAAATGCGTCATAGATATCAAATTGAAGAATTTCCAAGTTATTTATAACAATATTACGTATATTTTTCCGTAAATATCAAGAGATTGATTTGATTTGATTGGTTTTTTTTCAAATCGCGGCTCTTGATTGTTCTGCTAACTTTTCGTACTTGTCATACGTCAAAGTTACTCGGCAGGAGTAGGACATTAATGATAGCATTGGCGACGTAGCGTGTGGAAATGACGCAGTTGTCGAAACTTTTCTCACGATGTCACGTAAGTTTCGTCTTAATCTACCGAAAGGGGTGGCGAAGTCCGTAATCGTAAACTCGCGTAAAAACAGACGAAAGACCGGTCGAACGATCGTCGATCGATGGCGGCGCTTTCTTTACACCGACGCTGCACGGAAATGCTTACGGCCAACCGGGGGGAGTTATGGCAAAGCCGACAATAGAGTTCCTGTAATATAACAGACAAGCGGCGGAGTGTTCGCTATCAGCACTCCCGCATATAAAAGCGATAACTTTGTTACCAATGTCTCGCGCTCGGCCAAGCGACCTCGACAAAGAATACGCGTCTATAAGTCGTCCATTGAAAGCATAGCTTCGCTATGTCCACATCTATGAATGATCGTCAGGTAAGAAAAAAATTACAAAAGATTGTTTTTTCGAACTTAAAATTCACAATCTCTTCGAAATCACAATATTCGCTGAATCTTTTTCTACTTTTATTCTTTTATCGTATTTCTATCTCTAAGGAATTGAGAAATGTATCTCTTACATTCGCAATTTAATTCTTTTGTATACTTTTTTCTTGAAATTTAGATATTATATTTATCGGAGAAAAAGCTACAAATTTATCTGACGACGCAATCTGTATTTTCGCGATCAAAGGATTTAAAAAATCATCGACAGGATCGAGTGTGCATTAGACTTTCACGATAAGTCGCGCAAGTTATTTTTTATTATTTAGAAAGCGAAATATCTCACGCCGTCCCGATTTCATAAATCATCGATTGAAAAGGAATCAAATTTATGCGCGAAAGTCATGGTTAAGTCTCGTGTAAGAACAGGTTTCGTCGCTTCACAGTCACGTTTGTCACGCTAAAGATTATCTAACAGACAGATCAAACACGTATTTCAAGCGCTGGCAGAATATAAAAGAAAGTTTTTTTAATAGATTGTAACATGTTTTTTTAAGGAGAGAAGATGATTATAGTCGCGTCAAAAAGTTTTATTAGGATACATTCATTGCCTAATTTATTTCTTTAACGGTCGAAGATTTTAGAGAATTGTAAAGAAGACAGAGACAAGGAGTATTCCGCGAATTATTTCGTATTTCATAAAAGTACTTTAGATGTGCCGCGTAAATGCAAAATCAATCAATGAAAATGATTTTGTGATTAATACAATCAAAACAGTTATATGGAAACCAAGATTTTCATGCTGTTTTTTAATATTTTAATTATTATATAAGAATAAATATGACAAACGTTTTGATCTATTTCCGATCACCCTCAGTGTTTTCAAAATCTGTCGCAATTACAATCTTTCCAATATATTGAGTTGAAAATTCTTCAGATTCTTTTATAGCAATAAAAGGCCAATTCTGGAATTTTTAGATGCATATCCAATACCGTCCAAATCAAATATATTTAACTACTAAATTAAGTCACGTCGCTCAAAATCGACCTGTTGACCTCATCTTCAAATTAAGGCCACATTATTATCGTGTTCAGATGTACGCTGTCAAAAATTAAAACTGTCGGATTTTCTTTTCGCGAAAAAGTGTGTCAGCTTATAAATGATCGACGTTGACGTCACGTTGTTGACTATCGCGACGAAGAAGCCCTGTCGTTCTCGACAATTTCGGCGGCGCTGTTGCAGGTGGTATTTTCTTCGCGAACAAGATGCGACAGCAGGGGTACGTCACGATGTTGGATCCGCTTCAAGACGCGTTCGGGGAGCGCATGGGCGGCCTCCTCTTTCTGCCCGCGCTATGCGGCGAGGTCTTCTGGGCGGCGGGCATCCTCGCGGCCCTCGGCGCCACGCTAGCGGTCATCATTGATATGGACCAGGGCACCTCCGTCATCTTGAGCGCCTGTATCGCGGTTTTCTACACCCTCTTCGGCGGTCTCTACTCCGTCGCTTACACCGACGTCATTCAGCTATTTTGCATATTCATCGGTCTGGTAAGCGCTCGCTTCTGGAATCGCTCGAACGCAATTTTATTTCGCCCGGAGTGGCGCAATCGCTTATTTCGCCTTCCACGATGTTCTCGCGAACAGCCTGAAGTGCACGATTCGAACTGAAAATTTATAATTCAAATTCCGTTCGAGTAAAATTTGTTTTGAGAGACGAAGATATATTGTGGTCTGCCGCTGGAGCTTAATTGCGCGTTTCTTTTTATATCTCAAGTGGAGCAAATCTCCAATAAATTTCGTAGTTCATTTCCCGTGCAACGCTCGCTCGGACGAGTCTCCTGTAAAATACGACGGAGCTAATCGATATCGCGGCACCGCCGGCGTTTGTATTACCAAATTTATACTCGGTGACGTATAGATGGTGACCCACTTCGCGGAAGAACATATCAGGCTATTATTTTTGCAAAGCTTCACAAATACGGCTTCTGTTGTAACGCCGAATTTAAAAAAAAAAAAATCTCACGTACAAAGATTCTTTGAACATTCTTTTTGGCAAATAAATTCGGCCGACTAGAATTAAATCTCTTTTACAAAAGCATACAAAACACGTTAAATAACACGTTGTTAAATTCATGTGTTTTAATTCTTTAACTTTCAAATATTCCAATTGCATATTATTGCCAATTGAAGAAACTATTATTTTATATGAGTGTATAAAAATAGAATTAATTTAATTACGCTGTGTTTACTCTCTAGTAATTAGCTGAAATTCATTCATTCATTCTTACACTCGTGTTGTTTTCGTTTCAAGTTTTACTCCCTTCAGTTTCGAATGCAAACTCATCCTTTCATAACAAAACGTCCATTAACTGTGATTAATCAGGATAAAATCAGGCCTTTGAAAGAGAATCGCAGCACCGAAATAGATTCTTTATCCAGAAAAAGAATCTGTACAATTTACGTTAAATAGTTATAAATTAGAGCTAGCTTCGTGCTTTTTTATTAAAATTGTTTTAAAAGATTATTTAAAAATAAATTTTATAACAATTATTTTCTAATCTGATTAGCGAAAAATTGTTTTTATAAATTACACATTATTTCAAATATAAAAAAATTTCAATATACAAAACATTTTCAGCGCATAAAGTTGCAAAATCGAGAAATACTCACATTTTAAAAATTACTAAATAATTTATACAAAAAATATTACAGCGAAGTTCATTTCTAATTAACGAATATTTTTATTAAAACTCGAATTGTGATATAGCAAGCAATTTTTTTATTTTGTACATTCAATTAGTGAGGCGTCATAAATGTATTTTGCATATAAACAGTTTAGTAGTTTGAGAGAATTAATGTAACAGCTTTTTTGTTCTGCAAAGAGTTTTCATTTTTCATACGTGCATCACGTATCTGCATCTTGTAAAAGGCGTCGGTAACGATTTCTGTTTATAGTGGATGTGTATCCCGTTCGCTTGGACAAACGAGAAAGTACAGTCCCTTGGTTCCATGGACGTTGATTGGATCGGTAAAGTGAAGCCCGAGGAATACTGGTTTTATGTGGATTACGGTTTACTTTTGATATTTGGCGGTATACCCTGGCAAGTGTACTTCCAACGTGTTCTCTCCTCGAAGACCGCGGGGAGAGCTCAAGTATTGAGTTACGTCGCCGCTATCGGCTGCATCTTCATGGCTATCCCTCCCGTTCTGATTGGAGCGATCGCCAAAGCAACTCGTAAGTACACTGCACACTTAATAGTTCAATTAATTGATAAATATAGAGCGGCCAACTCTGATTTCTAATCTGTCGTAACTGAAAAATATTTTTGTTACGTCCTTATTTTTGTCTTGAAACAAAGAATTTTGCTATCACAGCGAAATTAGTGCTGGTACAAATTTTAATGGCAAAAATCAATTTGTTATAATAGCGATATAATTTGCAGATTTAGTAAAATTACTTACAGTAAATAAAATTAGTGTCTGTAACAAATCTCTTGCTTGTACGACAGCACAAATTTTTTTTGCGTTCTCTCGTCTAAATTTTATCCTGCACATTCTTTCGCATTTTAATATCTAAAATAGTATTCAATTTGATCGATGTCTTATTTTATGTATCATATTTGTACAAGTATCATTATTTATCACATAATATAATAGAAAGGCATTGAGAGCCGTCGCGGGATGTTAGTGCGAAATTTTAATTTTTCTTAAAGAAATTAATTTATCAGTCTACGTGAGACAATTAATTTCATCATTATTATTTAATTGGAATATAAATATAAATATTGCTGGGCTATTATTTTCTTCTTGAGGAAAGTGTGTTAAGGAGGCAGTGGAAAAAGAGTCCAATTTAGGCGCATTAATAATGAAACAAGGCACCTTTCGTTCCGTCCTCTCTTTCGAGATCGTCTCCGTCTCGCTGAAGGGTGCAGTAATGTGCCCCCTCTTTGCAAGTCTTCCACCCTCTACTCGAGAGAGGATCGAATTAGAGCCCGGGCTGCTCGTCGTCCCACGCTTCTCCTCGCGTTCGAAGGCTACTTGACATTTGGTGGCGCGGCGAAGAAAGAACTGCTGGTATTTACAAGCGGCGCGGCGGCGAGCGAGGAAGGGTGGTTGCGAAGGGCGCGGACGGTCGAGGGGTGCCCCGCGGCGTGTACAATAGCGTGGGGCCTCGCCATGTGGCGTTGCCCTCGCGAGGGCGAGGGTCGAGCGTGATGCGACTCGGCCGCCGTAACGCAAACTGCGCGCGATCATGTCGCCGGAACTAATTCGATATCCTTGCATTGGTATGTCGCGGAAGGATTCCGGGCACGCGTGGACAACGGAAGGAAGAGAGGAGGAAGTGTATAAAGAATCGAAGTGCGCGACGAGTGGGCGTGACGCTGAGCAAAAAATGTAGGTGGGACGAGCAGTGATAGAAATAAATTGATAGGCCGACGCGAGCGCGGACAGACTGGTATTTTAAAGCATTATAGGTGCATTATTCGCTATATTAGCTAATGTAACCATCGCATTATGCCGCGGAATGATTCCGAGCACGCAGAGCGGGAGAAACGGAAGCTAATTTACGATGGGCGTGATACCGTGATGGATATTGAATTAATAAACGAAAGTGAACTGTTGTTTAGAGAACGACGTGTTACTTATCTAATTATCTTTAATTATCTAATACGATGAGATACAGTTACGTGTATTGATAATTTGTGGAGAATTATTTCCACTTCGCTATTGCGCCTCTTGACGTCTGATACAAAACAACTTTCTCCCCTGAAATCGGCAAAAGAAGTTATGTTCGCGCTCTGAAATCCTCACTGCTGCGTCTTTCAACGTCTGACGCGAAGCGACTTTTTCCCCTGAAAAAAAAATTATATTAACGTTCTCGAATCCTCGCGTCATCGCCACAAACGCGAATTGTGTGTTGCAGCTTGGAACGAGACGGGATACACCGGTCCTTATCCTTTCACGGAAACGGAGACCAGCATGATTCTGCCGCTGGTCCTGCAACACCTGACACCGGACTTCGTTTCCTTCTTCGGGCTGGGAGCGGTATCGGCGGCGGTGATGTCTTCTGCGGACAGCAGCATCCTCTCTGCTAGTTCGATGTTTGCTAGAAACGTTTACAAATTGATCTTCCGTCAGCGGGTAAGTTTTTCCGGCGGCGTTCGCGCCCTGCTTGTTATCCGCTCTCGACGTCTCTTCTCACTTCATCTTTCTTGCATTTATGCGCGCCGTGATGCCTCTTAACACGAATATCGCACGTGTCGAAGCATATTTTTAACGCGGTTCTGTATGCGACGAAACTTTATAACAAGCTTCTTATAAAGTTCTGTGCTGCCATGAATATCGGCGACAGAAATCAGTCCGCGATAACTTGGTTGTTCTCGTTTCTCCCGCGTCTGTTTACTTTTTTCACGCTAATTTACGTAAGAATGGCAATCTAACTTTTCTTTACACGGTTCTTTTTATTCATATTTTCTCATGAATGAAAATTTTTCTCATATAAAATCTCATATAAAATTTTCAATTTTTGAAATGTTCTTTTATTGATCATGAAAAGAAAATTTTTGTTACGTCACAAATAATGCAGTATTGAACATATATTTTCTTGCGTTTTATTTATGCAGATTGCACGTTTGCATTCTACTACGCACACTGATTGCATTAATTTTCCTTTCCGAATATTTTACGCGAGCGTATAATCGATTTTTCGCGAATTGAACGATCGTTCGCGTTTTGCATTCCACCTGAATTTATGCCGCGCAACGTTTATGCGACAATCCGCCCAAGTTTTCCCCATCATTTCCTATTCACCCCGGCGACGATACTGAGCCACGTTGGGCGTCCGCGCGTCTCCTGTGCAGGCGTCGGAGATGGAGATCATCTGGGTGATGCGGGCGGGGATCGGCGTGGTCGGCGTGCTGAGCACCGTGATGGCCCTCACAATACCGTCGATCTACGGCCTCTGGTCGATGTGCTCGGACCTGGTCTACGTGATCCTGTTCCCGCAGCTGCTGATGGTGGTGCACTTCAAGGACTACTGCAACACCTACGGCAGCCTATCGGCGTACATAATCGCCTTCCTGGTGCGCATCAGCGGCGGCGAGCCGATGATGGGCCTGCCCGCGCTGATACGCTATCCGGGCTACGACGAGGAGTCGTCCACGCAGATGTTCCCGTTCAGGACGATGGCGATGCTGATGTCGCTGATAACCCTCGTGGGCGTGTCGTACGGCACGCAGTTCGCCTTCCTCACCGGCCGGCTCGCGCCGGGCTACGACGTCTTCAGGTGCGTGGTCAACATACCGGAGGACGTCGAGCGGGTGGGCCCGGACCCGGCCCGAGGGGCCGAGCAGATGGCGGTCCTAGCTGCGGGCGTCGGCAGGCTCTACGGCAGCAAGGACGAATCGAACGGCCGAGTGAATCCTGCGCTCGAGCCGGACTACGACATGACCCGGGATGTACGATGATCGCGGGATCACCGGACAGCGTCGTCGGCGGCGGCTGCGGCAGCGGCGGCGGCGGCAGCTTCTGCGGCGCCGGGGGAGACTTGGTGCCGCACGTTCCCGGCGGCGCGCCCCGACAGCCGCAATCCAGCACCGCGTTCTAACTCCTGGTTCCGTGATCGGATGCTGTGACCAACAATAAGTGCGGCGGTGCGGGTGTCTGTCTTTCGTTCCCCGTTCCTAACCTCTCCAGCCCCCGCCCTTCTTCTTCGTCGGTTCTTCTCCCTTCTGCGCGCTTCGTTCGCGCGACGGTCGGCTGTCCTCGGACTCTGATCTCGACCGTTGCCGTGCTTCTCGATACGTTGAAAAATGGAAAAATCTTTCTCCCGAAATTCCCGACATTCGCTGGCGTTAATTTCAGGTAAAAAATCAGTTTTTTTTGCTTATCGAAGAATCAGTCGCGCACTTTATTTGCACTTGAAATGTTTTAATTATTGAGATCTTTCTTTGCCAAAAAATATCTGTCGAATGATTATTCCGATTGAAAGCGTTCTTTCACGCTGGATGACAATTAATACTAGAACGTCCGCATAATTTCGCAACCCGAAACGTAATTTATTGACGCGGTGCATAATCGTGTAGCTAGCGTTGCTTTCTCTAATAACACGTCTCCGCGATTACTGTGGATGATCGCAGTCGTCATCGGCGTAAATTGTTCCATCCCCGGGGGTCGTTCTAGTGTTAATCGACTTTCCGACTCTCTCGCTCGGTTACGTAAGCCCTCGGTGTCCTGTTTTCCAGTTCGCATTTCCTTTTCCTACCCGCCCCTACGACCACGGAGCTCCGAGACGAGCCAACAATGCGGTGGCCTGCGGTAAGTCCGAACACGAAGTTTCTTTCGTACTCGCGTGTATGTGTGTGTCTGTGCGTGCATGTAGTTGCGTGTCGGGTGTCTGCTGTCTGTATGAATATATGTGTGTGTGTGTGTATGTGTGTACGTTAGCACGCTGCCAGTGCCCGTGTAACGATCTGTACCTGCCCGCGTCCGCTCGCGTTCGTGTTTCCCGTCGCCACTCTAGAAGGAGCAATAAACGAGAGAAACTGGGAAAAGTAAGGGAGGGGGGGGGGGGAGAAAAAAGGAAAAGGGTGACCGGAAAGTACGCGCGAGCGACAAGGGGATAAGCGTAGCGTTTCCAAACCGGAAGTCGGAGCTTCGGGCGTATTTCAGGCCGGGCATCCCTACACCGCACCGCCAATTAGGCCTAGTGATTTCCTTGTTTTCTTTTTGGAGAAGAATATATATATATAATAAGTATATATATATATAAAGATAATATATACAAAGATATTATATATATTTAGAGTTTAACAAAACTGCTTGAGAGAGCGTCTCGAAGTACGAGCGATCTGCCTGATCAGAGAAAATCGCGAGAATCGCGAGGGTTCCCATAAGAACTCAATCGATTGATTCTCAGCTTCTTAGGAATTAATTAGATCGAGCGGCCAACGTGTTTATATAAGATTATATATGGGAAGGGGGTGTGTAGAGACGTATCGCATACATTCTCTCGATTTTGCATTTATTAGAAGCCGAACAAAGGAGTCGTTATTTGAACCGCAATCTCTCACCTTTACAGATAATGATACTTTAATTTTCTTGTTTATTCAAAGAGATCTAATAGAGTTGAGACTCGAAATTTATTGTCCGCAATAAAAATGTTATAAAATAAAACGGCGAGGAAAAGTACGCGATCTTGAAGCACTTTCCATAATTTTATCTCGCGATACGCGCATTAAATACAACTATCTGATTCTAATTTATTGGCTAATAAAATAAATAATACGAAGAACATTCGTGAAGCCAACGTGAGATAAGAATCAGACAGTTACGCTTAGCGCTAAAGCGCGTGATAAAAATATGGCACGAAGAAGCTCATCGACGATTAATATTTATCGTCGACCTGCATATCTATAATTATCAATTCGATAATAATTCGATTCCGAAATATTAAAATTAATTCAACATCTATTAATAAGTGAGCCATAGTATTATAGTGATAAATGTTATTCTGTTCTTTAAATAATGCTTAAATATTTGCGATATTAACGTTGTTTAATGTCGACAATTTTTGCTGGATATTTATGATGTTTTCGCTGTTGAACATTGACGATAAATATTGATCGGCCGGGCACACCTTCTCAAGGCGTGTTGGAAGAAAAATCCCATCCATCCAGTATGCCATCCTCCTATCGCGTCTCACTACGATTAGTTCGCTCTATAATTAGTTGCCGCGCGTCGTAATATCGAGTGCCCGTGTCGGTGTTAGGAGAAGAGGTAAAAACGAAGCTTTTATACTTGCGATCGATCGCTCTTCCCTCGCTTCGGCCAGTCGAACGTACAGGAACACGCATACGCGAATACACACGTATCCATTTACACTAGCGTAACGAGAATACGTGTATAGATGCGTTGTTAGAACCGGGTGGCACCGGACGATCATCTAGCACGGTCGCTCGCCGTAGAATTTTAGGTTCTTCGCGGCTCACGTGCGAGGGCGACCCAGTTTGTTTTTACTAATCGTGTTTTAAAAATAAACGGTTAAAATGTCAGACTCCTTTATTTGAAGAATGTAAAGGTCTCTTGAATGCTTTCACGTTTGCGATAAAATGTGATATCGAACGAATAATATTATTGATTAAACGTGTAAAAAAATACATATTGTACAAAATTAAGAAGCGCAGCAATAGTCTATAGACAATATTAAAATCGAAAAATTCATATTTTAAATATTTAGAAAATTTATGATTTATACATAATTACGCTCCACGTTAGCATCTCTTTTTTTTAAGACTTTAAAAACAAATTCCAAGTAAAAAAAGTTCGGAAATAAATAAAGAACGATTAAAGTTATTAGGTTTGCTGTATCCTAACGCAATATTTGAGATTAATTCGTTTGAAAAATTATTTTACAGTATTGGAAATTTTCTAAGTTTCCTCTATAAAGAGAGATTTATTTAAAAAAACTCCTTAATTTCTTAAATATATAAATAATTACATAAGTAATTACGCTAAACAATACGATTCTTTTCGCTGATTATTTTTCATTATTCCTGCATTCTTCTTGCGAATGCGAGCCTTTCGTCGCGTGAGACGATATGGATTTTGACTGAATTCGAGTGAGCTGCGGAGCTTCATCAGGCAAATCGTTCGTAACGCAGGTCCGTTGTGTTTATCATATAGTATATAACATAAATGTATGATATAATATCATGGGCAGTAAATGCAGTAAAGCGAAGGGGAGAGATGGGTGATTGTAGAGTGTAATGAGAAAAGCAAATTTTAGACCACTCTGTCTCTCTCTCTATATATATATTATACATACGTACACGTTATACATATCGAAAAGACTAAATTCATAGGTGTTAATAATCGCAGGTACGATTTATCGCCATCATTGTTAATTTTGAAGATCCGTTTATTACGTCGTTCACAAAAATATATATCTTATATATTAGAGCCCTCGTGAGAGAGGGATGCTACGCAATACGCATAAATGCCTAGGAAAGATTCGTAATGTTACGCTCGTTATACCTGATTGCTCATGTATTGTATCATTTATCGCCAAAAAGATGAGAGCGCCGCGTTTCGAGACTGACACGTCAGAGGTGGATTAATCTGTCAGGCCTGAGAACGGATAATTTTCGGAGGGCTCCGTTAAAAGAGGGTTAATCAAAACGTAAGCTATTGAAAAAGAAAGGATTTATATTCTTTAATGGAAGAATTAAATAAAATTTTACTTAACTGGAAAAAAAATTAAATCATACAATTTAAAAGAAAAATTATATTTTTGAAGACTGTTATATACATGAGATTTTCTTCGACTTAAACTTTATTCCGCTCAGATAATCCGCCTCTGACCGGCGTTCTACTAGAGCTTTTTTTGGATTACGCATGATTTCAAGCGCACTTATAATACGGGATTCTCGAATCTCGAAACGCGACGTTACGTGTGACGACGGGATGAGATACTTTAGATAATTTCGTAGATTGTAGAGCAGTTTTGTACTTAGTTCCTACTCACCCGATGAATTGTGATAAGCGTCTGACTTGTAATTCTGCGCAAAGTGTGATTAAGTTGAAGTCTTATCGTTCGCGTAAAATCGTTTCCGTTCACATCGCTGCGTGACCGGTAGTTTCATCGTGCTTGCAAATACGTCTAGTTTAACATTTTTTCTAGACAAAAAAAACCCGTATATCGATTGTTTTTACTATAGAGCAGTGTGTGAGTCGAGTATATTTTTCTAATTTATAACGTTTTTTTATTTATTGAATTAGAATGTTCCGCTCGTTCTTTAAATCACTCAAACTTACGCAAGACTCGCCTCCGTGTTAAAATTTTAAATGTGCAAGATTGTTAACTGTAAAGAAATAGTAGATATAGACGTATATAGAATTATATGTTTGAGATACCAGAATTTTAATATTGAAACTATCAAATGACAGATGGAGGTGCTTTGAAATAATTTAGTATCGTGTTTGAAGAAAGGGAGGAGAGAGACATATCTATTTATAATCGAAATATCAAAGATTAAAGGGCTTCAATCTGCACGGCAATCTGCACGATAGAAGCCCCTGATAATTGTACGTTATCTAAAATATTACTTATCCCTTTGTCATGGTTTATAACTCGTTTATTTCGGAAAGTATTTTAGGCCAAGAAAATATTAACGGATACATTTAATATTTTCGTTTCACTTCCTGAGAATTGCTTGTGAAAATTAGATCCGTCGTCGAGATAAATTAAGTCCGAATTATATGGCACTTTGTTCCCCATTCGGTATCACGCGAGCCGTTTGTTCACGAGCTTCTCTCTTCCGCGGAGTCGTTCAATGGTATCGAAGTGCTCTCAACCATGCGAGAATCTTTATGGTCCTTCGCTATTTGCCGGAAGTCGCTACCCGTTTCCGGATACGTGCCCGTTGTATTAACCGCTCGTTAAGCCGAGGCGTCGTTCGAGGTGAAATTACGAGCGCGTTCGCGAGAAGAACGGAGGATGCGCTCGCGCTACGTGAGACCGGAACGACGATTGTGGAAGGGGGTGGGGGGAGGCGGTTGAGGAGGGGGGGGGGGAGATACGTTGGACGAGAGTCGCGAGATGCTCGCCGCGGCATGCATCTCCCGTGCATTTCCGCTCGTCCGTCATTAAACTTCGTGGACTTTCACTCGGATATTAGAGACGATGACGAGAGCTGGCCGCCGGTACTCTCAGCTAATCCGAGAGGCTCGTGGACAACGAGCGCGCGTGCTGGAATCATTATCCTTATTATATTCCTGCCGAAGCTCGAAAGTATCGCGGTGCAATGAACCGTGCGTAAGACCGTCGTGCTTCTCGCGCTAGGAATACGAAAGTATCACAAATGAAAGTATCGTGAATTATTTTTGTACACAGCGTGCCCCCCTTTTTCAGCCGTTCGTGGATTTTTCGACGGAGTTTAGAACCGGGCCTCGTCCCGATTCACAACTCCGCGCGCGGCTGTTTTTCGAGACTCGATATTTTGGAATATGAAAATTTGCATGGTTTTTTTTTTCCCCAGTCTGATTTGAACGAATGGTGGTAGGTGTGGGAAAAGAATTTTAACGAGCTCTTGAACTCTCTTAATTACCTTGATTGTAGGTTTAAATCTTCGAGCTCGCACATAAAATCTTCAGGCCTCGCATTCTTAGATTCTTATGCCATTCGCGAGAATTCTTGGATGATTGGGTTTCAGATTATTTACATTCTCTTGCATCACAGATTGTGCCGAGATGTAAGTTTATTGACTATTTGACCTCTCGCATCTTTGCATCCTTCAATCTTCGTATCTCATGTGTGTGTTTTTTTTTTAAATATTTACACTTAGAAAATTACCGCGAAGGTGAAAAGTGTGGACTTTAGCGAGGAATAACTTTATTCGAGTGTCGATTTTATTCGGGAATGATAATTTTGAGTTGCTTACATATTTGAGCTTCAAAACGAGATCGATCAACATCGAGTGTTAGATAGATTTTCCATCGTTTCTTTTGTACGAATTCGAGAAGGAAAGAGGTGGAGTCGCGTGAAGAACGCGGAAGAAACTAGTA